AGATGGATTTTTTTTTTCTTGAAACAAGGTCTCTGTGACTCAAGCTGATAGAACTCCTGGGCTCAAGCCATCCTCCTGCCTCAGCCTCCCACGTGGCTGGGACTACCCGTGTGTATCACTGCACACAGCTACAGGATGAGAAATTTAAACAGTAACTGGTAAGGAGAACAGGGAATACTGGGCTTCCTCCATCTTCCACTTAATAGAGCTCAGTCCTAAATATTTTTCTAACCAATTTCCTTGGCCAGAATCAGTTCTAAAACACTGATTTTGGTTGGGGTGGGGGGATAATGATGAATGTGATCTCCTTGGCTGATCAAAAACTAGATCAACTAGTAGTAAGACACACACATTGTTTATAAAGCAAAGTTGGGAGCAGAGTGTTCAGAACATCTCCTGCACTATGAAGTGCATTGACCTTCCCTCTGAGCTCCGTCACCTGGCACAAACTTGGGCCTTGGGTGGGGGCGTCCAGTGACAGCCAGGCGAGGGCAGCCAGGGTCCTTCCTGGTGTCTTGAAACCTGGCTAATACTCTTGGACTTGGGGTGATGATCATTTGGTTTTTAGCATCTGTGAGATACACTTGAGAAGTTAATAGTTCATTTCCTTTTATGAAGATATACTTTAATTGTGAGGTGGTTTTTGGTGCGTGGGTTTGGGAATGGAAAGTTGTCTTTGGTTGGGAGTCCTCCACAAGATGTCAGCCGTGATGTCAAGAGGTCTCTTTTGTGTCCAGGACACCAGCATTCCAGAGGCAAAGAAATAAGGTGAAGGATGCAGGATGCGGTAGAGCTGCCCCAGTGACACAGTACGTTCCACTTTTTTGACCTTGGCCTTCGGCAAGGAGCCAAGGAGGAAACCTGAGCCTGCAGGGTGAGAAAGTCCTGCGACTGGGTTCCAGAAGATTCCGAGGCTTTGCCCTTTGACCTCTAACAGCAGTTCTGGACTCTTCTGAGCCTGGCTCCCTCCCAGAGCTGCCCTGAAGCTTCCCACACACAGATGGTCTCGGGAACCTCTGGCGGCCTGGGTTCCTCATCCTAATATCAGTCCTGGCTGTTTGGGAACACGTGGGAATCAAACAGGTCTAAAGATGGCACCAGCCTTGGGTGGGTCCCAACCTTCCCTAGGGCCGAAGACCCTGCCAGCCCAGCAACATTTAGAAGTCCCCACTTTTCTGCCTCTCCACCATAAAACTTCTCTTAAAACAGGAAATCCATACCTAATGTAAAGGCGGACTACGGTTTGTTTTTTTTGTTTGTTTGTTTTGTTTTTTCTGGCCAAAAATTCCTCTGTCCAAATTTTTCTGTTGACAGCCAGCAGGCTCCACTTAGGGTGGCCACTTGTTCCCCCAAACTACTCTGTCCCACAAGCCCGGCCTTAGAGACTGGGGAGCAGGGGAGGGGGCCGTGGTTCCTTCCCTCTTCGCTCTTCATTCCTGTCCCTCTGAGCCCACAACAGTGAATAAAACTGTTCAGTGCTCTTGCGCGGAGTTATCTCATGCTCAGATGTTTCCTGTTAGGACAGTGGGCCCTCTGCCCTGGCTGCCTCCCATAACTCAAGAGAACCTGCAGCCTTCCTGTCCCCTTCCTGTCCCCTGAAAGCTGCACGTGGGGGGCAGGCAGGCTGGGGAACAGAGCATCTGAGCCAGGCTACTCCGGTGTCCTAGCAAGTCAGGTTTCCCGCCAGCACACAGCCCACAGAGGGAAGGGTTTCTAGGGGCAGCGTCCCGGGGCAGCCTGAAGTCACCTCCCTGGGACAGCTGTATTAGGGACAGCACTGCCAGGCCGCAGCAGGTTCAGACAGGACTGCTGAGGGCCAAAGAAGGGAATGGAGACCAGGAGTAGGAGCGTGGTGTCCCATACTGATTTCCACTCTCAGAAACTTAAAAGGTGACTTCCAGAAGTGCAATTACAAGGCAGAACTGAGACTTAGAAAAAAATGAAGAGGCCACTGTGGTGGTGAAGGACTGTAATCCCAGTATTCCACTCTGGAGGCTGAGACAGGAGGATTGTGAATTTACACTCAACCTGAGCAACCTAGAGACCCCGTCTCAGACTTGTTTAAACTGGGGGTGGGGTGAGGTAGCCCCAGCAGAGGCCATTCAGACTCTTATGGAGGTGCTCCCATAGATCCGCAGGTGCAGAGCTGGCCCCACAGGAAGATGTGCTCACGTGGGTAGTACTGTCCTACTCACATGGCAAATACCATGCCTCCCTGCCTCATCTAACTTCCTGCTGCCTAGTGTGGGCCGAGGGCAAGCACTGTCACCTGGGGGCTTGTCACAAAATGCAGAGCCTGCATCTCACCTGGACCCCTGGATGGTTTGTGTGCATTCCAGTCTGAGAGGCCGAGCCAGGTGTGGTAGCACATGAACGTAATCCCAGCATTTGGGAGGCTGAAGCAGGAGGATCGCTGTGAGTTTGCTAGTACATAGTGGGTTCCATGATAGCCCATAACACAGCAAGACCCTGCCTCAAAAAAA